TTGAGAAAGCCCTTGACTCTGGATGGCATTGCACCCGGCTCCCAGTTCTCAGGGAGAAGGCTAGCCAAAGATGCTTCATTTACCAGGGCTCTGGCTGGCCCAGACTCTTGGTTTGAGTCCACTTGAAAGACCAACAAAGGTACCTGTGAACTTGACAGGAGAAATCTCTTAACACTTATTTGGAATTTGTGTGTTAGTGTGTGTGTTAGTGTGTGTATGTGTGTGTGTGTGTGTGTTGGCTGGGCCCTGACCTGGCGGTGCTCAAGACCTCATTTACTCAGGGCTCTGTACTCAGGGACCAGTCCTACTGAGGCACGAGAGATCCTCTGTGATGCCAGGGATTGAACTGCGGGGGGCATGCGGAAAGCAAACATCTGAACTATTACTTGGGCCCTGAATTTTATGCTTAAAGACATTTCATTTGGCTCTCATGGAGACGAGGTGAAGTTGATCTTCCTGTTAGATGCTTTTATGAAGAAGCCACGCTGAGAGAGATGAGCTAACTTGGCCTAACTGTGAGCTGTTAGATATTTGGACTCTATTCTGCAAAAGGACCCCCCAAGGTCTAACTGTAGGCAAGGTCCAGTCCATCCTGTGGGGCAGGTGCCTCGCCTGCTCGGAGAGTCCGTTTTGAGCACTGAGGGCTAAGTGTCCTCACGCTCCAGGGCGGAACATGGTGTGTCTGCAGTGACTCAGTCAATATTTGTCAATATGCCTTAGCTGGTCTCCTGGCTTAGCATGTCCTCCCGAGCCTGAGGACCTGACAGTGCAATCCTTGACAATAGCAAAGGCTACAGTTACAGTAAAATTACATACCAAAAAAAAGTCAAGAACGGGGAGGTGACTTTTTTTTTTTTAATTACAGTTTTTATTTGGAGGTTTCAAGGGAAAGGAGGGAGAGAAAGTGGGAGAGAGTGGAGAGCAACGTGCTCAAGGGAGAACCCAGGCTTCTCCAGGGGCAGAGAGAGCCCCTACACACATCCCAGCATTAGACAGGAAAGCATGAAAGTCCACAGCTCAAGAGGGGAGATGCTGGTGACACATGTGCTCGGGAACCCATGTGCTTGGCCACTTGGGCTCAGGCAGCATATTTGCCGGGGAGGTGGCTCTGAATGGCTTCTGCAAGGGGGACTGTGAGAACACTGAAGGGTCCTGACAAAAGGAGGCGCTTACTTCCAGCCTGCCTGGAGCACTAGTATGGGATGCGCCCATAGTTCCTTTCCCATCTCCTTTCCTTCCTTTCTGTGCTCTTCCTAGTTCTTAAACAATGAGTCAGAACAATACAACTGACTCTGGGCTCAGAATCGGAAGTGGCTCTGTGTGATGTCTCTGAACTGTTTGAGGGACAGTTTCCCGGAAAAACTCAGCCCAGAGTTCCAAGGCAGCAGCTTCATGCCGCTCATTAAAGCTTTCTTTGTGCAAGGGAGGAATCTTTTAGGGGGTTAGGGGGGTGGGAGGGGGCAGAGCAATAGTGTGGTGGATAAAGTGCCTGCCTTGCAGGCAGCAGACCTGGGTTCGATCCCTGGCACCCCCCATATGGTTCCCTGAGCATCACAGGGAGTCATTCCTGAGTGCAGAGCTGGGAATAACCCCCTGAGCATTTCCAGGTGTGACCAAAAACCCAAAAGCCCTCCCCTTCCCCACCCACAAAATAAACTCACCCACTTTCTTTGTTTGTGTCTGTCAAACTGATATCCAACTCGATGTCTTCATTCTCTTTTGGGGCCATACGTGGTGATGCTCAGGGGTTTACTTCTGGTTTTGCACTCAGGAATTATTTTTGGTAGTGCATGGGGGACCGTATGCCGGGGATCAAAAATGCCGGGGATCAAAACTGGGCCAGGTATGTGCAAGACAATTGCCCTACCTGCTGTTCTATGGCTCAGGCCTGTCTCGCTTCCCTTTGTGATAATTTCCATTTTTCCATTCAAAGCCACTGTGTCCTCAGCTGGGAGTCTCTCCTGCTTTGAGTTCCCCCTGCAATGTTCTCAGGTGGCATTTGGGGTACCGCCACAGTCAGGGAGAGCTGTATGTTCTCTGGGATAGTCTGGGACTATAGCAAGAGGCAGAAGCATGGCTGATCCCAGAGTTTTAGATCACACAGCTCTGGGGATCGAAGCAAGGGGAGCTGTGTGCAAGACCAACCCTAGTTCAATACATGGTCCCTCAAATGCCACCAGGGATGACCCAAAAATCCAACTGGGAAAAAAAAAAAGTCTGCGATGATTATGCAGAGAAGTATGGTAGTTGTATGTCTTGGTACTTGATGAGGGACAGATGGGAGACTATCCAGCAGATGGAAAGAAAATAACACGGTATATGATGATCCCCAGCAATACACACACACACACACACACACACACACACACACACACACACACATGCTTCCTTTACTTCATTCCTAAAGCCTCTCCTTCCACAAGCCACCCCAGGCTGCCCACAGTGCTCGTGATATGGTGGCTCTGTACCTGTCAGCATGACCTTGTCAGCATGACCTTTGCTTTCCAGAAGGGTCCCCTAGATACGGCCCCTTTAAGCTGCATCCCATCCCCACTTCCATGGTGAGCAAAGTACTAAATTTGGGATGTGTATGTGTGTGTGCGCATGCGTGTGTGTGTGTGTAAGTGCATGTGTGTGTGTGTGTGTGTGTGTGTTTTCGGGGTGGGACATTCAGGGGGATGAGAGCGGGTCAAGCAGCAGGCAGAGCCTGCGACAGCCCACTGAGCGGTGCCCCTGGCCTGTTACTGATTACTGCAGGAACCACTCATATGGGTGGGCCCCTGTGTGCCAGCCCCTGGCCGGGTCTGGCAGTGCCTGTAACAACAGATTTTCAGCAGCCGCAACTTCGCAGGGGTGAGAGCTAGCTAGAGTTGGCTGTATAGAGTCCCCGCATGCAGGGACCACAGCAGGCCTGCCCTGGACTAGGACCTCAACAACAAGGCCGAAGTCATGCTTCTGTCAGTGCAGTGACTGAGTGCAGGGGATGCTTCTTGGCCTCTCCTGCCTTGTGCTGAAGCTCTGGGTCACTGACACAGGAGAGGAAGGCTGGACGGGGAGGCACAAGCACCAACAACGGCCAGGGTACAGGAGAACAGCCATTGGCCAGAGGGCTAACCCACCCACAGCCACGGGCTACTAAGAACCAGAGAGCTGGGCTGCAGAGCGCGGATGGAGATGGTCATGTCCGGCGATGACCATAAACAGACCAGACCACTGACCAGTCCACTTTTGATGTACCCAGTGTCAACAGCACTCTAGGGTGTTTTTGCTTTTTGTTTTTGACTTTTTGAGTCCCACTTGGTGATGCTCAGGGGATACTCCTGGCTCGGCACTCAGGAATTTCTCCTGGCCGTGCTTGGGGAACCCTATGGAATGCCGGGGATTGAACCCAGGTTGGCCGTGTGCAAAGCAAACGCCCTACCCGCTGGACTATGGCTCCGGTCTTGTCCTCTTAAACAGTGTTTGGTTTTGTCCTTCTGCAGTGCTGTGGAGCTAAGCCCACCCTGGCACACAGTAAAGGCCAGGAGCTCTCTGCGCGAGCTACACGCGAGACAGCTGCACACACAGGTTCCAAAAAGCCATTTCTAGGAGCTGATGAGCAGAATCAAGCCCTGTGGCTGCTCAAACAACAAAGAGGCCTCTGAGAAGAATAAACAGACCCACTAGCCACATCCCTCTATAGAAGGGAGCACACACGGACCAGAGTGGACATGCCACATCACGGATGGCCACGGAGGCCATCCTGACCCAAGATCTGTGAGAGCCCGGTCCCCAGTGAGAGGGAGTCAGGAGATGGGCTTAGTGTCCTTAGGAGACAGGCCCGGGGACACCGTCGGCCCTTCCACTCTCCGAAGCCATGGTGGAGGTGGCTACAGCCACGGCAGCAACTGGGCCCTGCTTGACCTGGGCAGGCGGGCCTCGGGGGGAGAAGAGACACATGTGTGGCTCCTGAGGTACCCAGAACATGGCAGTCTGTAAGGGTGGCCTGGATGGAAGGAGACAGGGAGTGAGGGAGGACCCCCGAGACCTGATGCCCTGAGACCTGATCGCCCGGCAGGATGCAGTGACAGCAGCCCCTCGGGGCCAGAGAGGGCGGGGGCAGTGGGTCGTGGAGAGGTGATGACACAGCAGTGGACCCCCCACCCCAGCAGTCACTATGGATGATCGTGTGTCGCAAACATGTCACCATGATTAAAATCCAACCAGGAGAGAGAGGGAGAGAGAAAAAAAGAGAGAGAGAGAGAGAGAGACAGAGAGACAGAGAGAGACACAGAGACAGAGAGATAGACATAGAGAAACAGAGACAGAGAGACAGAAACAAAGAGACAGAGACAGAGACAGAGAGACAGAGAGAAAGACAGAGGAGAAAAGCACCGCTCTAGAGGTAGGCTGAGGGTGGGTGTTGGAACACTGTACGACTGAACCCTAATCATCACCAGCTCACAGTGACTCAATAACAAAAGTAAAAAAAAAAAAAAACACCCAAATTCCAACCACAAGGAGTAAGGGGAGAGTTATAGAAGCAACAGACAAGGAAATGAACACCCACGGGTTCACCATGCTTATGGGGGGTTGTAAGCAGACATTCCAGGGGAGCGAATTCAGCACTGCATGACTCCCTCCCTCCTCCCACCCCGCCCACCACTTCTACTTGGGGGAGGGAGTGGGGAGTTTAGGGTCACACATGGCTGTGTCCAGGGCTTGCTCCTGGCAGTATTCGGGGACCCTCCAGGGTGCCAGGGGTTGAACCGAGTCAGCAGCAAGCAAGACATGCTCCTCCCCCACTGAGTACCGCGTACGAGGTTCCCTCTGCTGGGGCACCCCCCATGTCTCCTTTCTGCACAAACCCAGAGAGTCAGCTGCGGAACCGCCTCACAGGCCTGCTGTGGAGGGTGAGTCACCCTGGGCTGCAGCCACAAGACCACGAGCGTCTCCAGCATCTCCTTATCTGCAGACACTGCCCAGCCCCCGCGCATCCCTGGACTCGAGGCAGTTCTTACCTCCACATCGTACAGGAACTGAAAACGACTTCCTTTATTCGCAGCTCCTCGCACGGCCCACGCCAGGTCCACTGAGCCCTTCCCGCCCATGGACCAGTGGTAGCAGGGCACCGCGTCGAAGGCGCCGGCCCGCTTGGCCAGTTCACACACCAGGTCAATCTCGCCACGGGTGTCGGTTCTGGGGAGGAAGCAGGGCAGTGGGTTGGCATCTGTCTTCATTGAATGCGTTTTATTTTATTTTTAATTTTTTTTTTTTTTGCTTTTGGGGTCACACCCGGCGATGCTCAGGGGTTACTCCTGGCTCCGCACTCAGGAATTGCTCCTGGTGGTGCTGGGGAGGGGGGACCATATGGGATGCTGGGAATTGAACCCAGGTCAGCCGTGTGCAAGGCAAATGCCCTACCCATTGTACTATTGCTCTGGTCCTTTATTTTATTTTATTTTTGCTTTTGAGTCACACCTGGCATTGCACAGGGGTTACTCCTGGCTCATGAAATTACTCCTGGCGGTGCTCGGGGACCATATGGGATGCTGGGAATCGAACCAGGGTCGGCCGCGTGCAAGGCAAACGCCCTACCCACTGTGCTATTGCTCCAGCCCCTATTTTATTTTTTAAAAGAGAAACACAAACCGTTTATACACAGAACTCCGCACCCTAATGCAGAATAGATTTCAAACATCAAATGTGGTTACAGTGGATTTCAAGAAATCAGACTCTGAGAAAGGAGGGAGCTGGGAAACACAACTTCCACTCCAATCCTGTGCAAGTTTCTAAGTCGTTAGGGTTTTATCGTGAAAACTGTATAATACATCCCTTTGATCTCCACAGTATCTTTCCGACAGCGATGCTGTGGGAATTGGAGGGAGGGGATGGAGGAGGGGCAAGAAGGTAGTAACTCACTCTAAGGACTGATTCCCTAATAACACCTGAGACACTTCTGCCCATCAGAAACAATCCAAACCCGCAGAATGAGTAGCCCATGGTATGTCTTGTGGGCTTTAAGATGGAGCAAAGACCGACCGTCTCTGAGACAGCCACAGTGATGGCGCGTGGCACTGCATCAAGGCTGACACTGGACTTACTTGAAGACATTCAGAGCCACGACAACAGGAACCCCGAAGAGCTGGGCTATTTGGATTTGCTTCTGGAGGTTACAGCAGCCAGCCGCCACCAGCGGAATGTTCTGGAAGAAAACGGGAGTCTTGTGTATTGCCTTTCAACAAACCTGCTAACCTCTACCGGCCGGGCCCCTAGTGGGGCTGGTTTCCCGTTTTGCTCTCTTGGTTGTCTGAGAAGCTGTTTTTGTTTGTGTTTGTCTTGGGGCCACATCCAGTGGTGCTGGGGGACCACTCGGTGCTGAGGTCTGAAATCAGGCTTCTGCAGGCAAAGCCGGGACTCTGCCCAGGGAGCTCTCTGAACCTGCTTTTTGCTCTCGGTAAAAAATGGCTACAGATGGCCAAGGCTCCTTTTTCAACTTAATTCTAAAACGATGTGTGTGTGTGTGTGTGTGTGTGTGTGTGTGTGTGGATACAGATGGCCAAGGCTCGTTTTCCAACTTAATTCTAAAATGGTGTGTGTGTGTGTGTTAAGGCTCATTTTCCAACTTAATTCTAAAATTCTGTGTGTGTGTGTTTGTTTGTGTGTGTGTGTGCGCGCGCGTGCGCATGTGCGTGTGTGTCCAGGAGCACATTTGGGACTGGCGTCAAGTGGCCAGGCCAACCCTGCAGGTCCTCTGGAGGTGGCTGGACACAAAGACACCAGGCCCCAGGAGGGCCCGGAAGGTCCTGCCTCTCTGCTCAGTTCCCTGGTGCCACCTGTAGGAGTTCGGAGGTACTGCAGCCAGAAAGGGCATCGACATAAGAAACTCAATACAGGTCATAAAGTCAATTGCGAATCATCAATATCAGGCTTTCTCCCCCACTTTCAAAATGAAAGACTGGCAGACGCTTCCTCTTGGTTCCTGTGCCTCTGCTCTGATGGAGGGGGTGGAACTGCAGACAAGGCCCACATCATTTCTGGAAAGATCTAAACAATTAAATTTTTCCTTTGCCCCAGCTATTTCCTGAGATGAGTGAAGTAGGTTTGTAAGAAACCACTGGTAAAAGATGGAGTTACTGATTTCCTTTTTCTCTTTTTGGTTTCTGGCTATGGGTGCTCAGGGCTTACTCCTGGCTCAGCTTGGGGAACCATCCTGGGTGTTGGGGATTAAAGGCAGGTTAGTCACATGCAAGGCAAGCGCCCGAGAGGTTGGACTATCTCTCCGGCTCCCAAATTCTCATTTTCAACTGCAGGCAACAGTGAACTGGGTCCCAACAATTCTCTCAAAGGGCCTTACCTCTTCCGTGTACTCTTTCTTAAGAGGAACACCGGCAGAGACCTGAGACAGACAGAAAAATCCCATTAAGATGATTCCTTGAAATTGATGAAAGCAAAAGAAACCAGGTCATGTTGAGGGGTGGGCCCACTTAGCATCCAGACCAGTTCTTTCGAACCAATGGGCAACTCTGGCTGGGCAGAGAGTCTTGGGAGGAACATTCACCAAATACTGCTGCTTGGACTCGCACCCCACCAGTGATGCTGGGGTTCCCGGGAGAGGACCCAGCATGAGTAACATCTAACAGTGCCTGGGGGGGGGGGGGGGGGAGTTAGAGGCTGAGTGAGGATTGGCGGATTGGCATGTCCATGGAAGAAGACTCAATGATTGGTACCCAGCACCTTTCTTTCTTTCTTTCTTTCTTTCTTTCTTTCTTTCTTTCTTTCTTTCTTTCTTTCTTTCTTGTTCTTTTTGGGTGACACCCGGTGATGCACAGGGGTTACTCCTGGCTCTGCACTCAGGAATCACTCCTGGGAGACGAGCACCATTAATGTTTCTAAATAAATGTGAAATGACTGTGGTGCCATGAAGGCACCATGGCAATGCCGAGGTCTTTTCATTTTATTTTAAGATTTGAGTCTTGGGCAAAACTTGCTGTGCTCAGGGATTTGTCTGCGCCCGGTGCCCAGTCGACCTTGCAGGATCAGGGATAAAACGCGGCTCTCCCACCTGGAATCCTGTTGTAAGCCTGCTCAGCGGGCCCTAGGCAGAGCACTGAATAAATACCTAAATGAAATGTTAAATAAAATGATCTGGTCATGGGACTTGCTTTTATGGAGTGATAGCACAGCGGTAGGGCGTTCGCCTTACAAGCGGCCAACATGGCCGACCCGAGTTCGATTCCTCCGCCCCTCTCGGAGAGCCCGGCAAGCTACCGAGAGTATTCGATATGCCAGACACAGTAACAACAAAGTCTCCAATGGAGACGTTACTGGGCCCGCTCGAGCAAATTGACGATCAACGGGAGGGCCTTTACCTTTACCTGTTCCACTTAAAGTCAGTTTCCAGGAATCTATGGGCAGTTAACAAAGGGAAGACTTGGTCTGCCCACCCCAACGTCATGGGCCTCATTTCTCCCAAGGCAAGGGGCTGGCAGCTATCTGAAGAATCATGTGCTGGAGGGGCAGATCAAAGGGCTGGCGTGGGTCTGGAGCAGTAGTACAGCAGGGAGGGCACTTGCCCAGCATGTGACCGACTTGGGTTTGATCCCAGACAACACATATGGTCCCCCGAGTCCACCAGGAGTGATCCCTGAGTACAGCGCCAGGAATAAGCCCTGAGCACTGCTGGGTGTGACGCCAAAACAAACAAAAAAAGAGAACAACAATATGGGGGTCCCCAGTAAGATTTGGTCTTTCAAGCACTGTTAGGAGTGACCTTAAAAGTCACCATCAAACATAACCCTCCCCCCAATAAAATGACTAACAAAATAGACAACACTGATAGGATTTAAAAAAAAAAAAGTGAGGGGGCTGGAGCTATAGCACAGTGGGTAGAGCGTCTGCCTTGCACGTGACTGCCCTGGGTTCGATTCCCAGCATCCCATATGGTCTCCCAAGCACCTCCAGGAGTAATTCCTGAGTGCATGAGCCAGGAGTAACCCCTGAGCATGGCCGGGTGTGATCCAAAAAGAAAAAAAAAAGTGAATGATCAGGAGCTGGAGAGATGGTGCAGAAGTCTAACGTCTTGCTTTGCCATAATCAACTCCAGTTTGATCCGTAGCACCTCATATGGTCACCAGGAGTGACCCGTGAGCACAGGAGTAAGGCCCCATGTACTGTGAGGTATAGTACCCAACAACCACCCCCCCCAAAAGGGGGAAATTTCTTAAAATAAAGATCACATGCTACAGACAGAATAAATAGGGTACTATGTTCCACTTTATACCAATTTATTTCCAAAAGCTTAAAAGTCTAACTTTTGTTCAAGCTCAATTACCCGAGAGAAATTCTCAATAGCTCTATAGTCACTAGAAACATTAAAGTCGTCATTAAAAATCTTTCCTCAGTCACTGAGGCAGGCGGGGGGGAGGAGGGGAGAGGCAGGAAACTGGGGACTTTGTTGGTGGGAAATGCACACTGGTGAAGGAAAGATGCTGGAACATTCTATGACTGAAACCTAATCATGAACAACTTTGTAACTGTGTATCTCACTGTGATTCGATTAAAAAAATTAAAAGAAATAAAAAACCACAAATACCAAAACCCTCTTCTCAGTAATGCGCAACCAAAGCGCTGTCACATATGAACTCTTCCCATTTTGAATAAACAGATTACTCTGTTTATTGTATAAAATCCCTTCCAGAGTACATAAAACAGGAATGCTTCGCCATTTATTTTATGTGGCTCATAACTCACTCATAAATGTAAATGCAAAAAAACCCTACATAAAACATTAGAAAACTATAAGCAAAAGCTAGCTGCTCACGAATGCTGAACACACCCCCAACTTTTATTTATTCTAAGGAAACAGATTGGAAGGACATGTAATGTCATTTGCCACATTAATAGGTCAAAAGATGAAGAATGTAGGCAAAGAGAGAGAGCTCAAGATGCCAAGTGCAGGCTTTGCTGGTGGGGGACGTCCAGGTGACGCCCCAGTACTGCAAAGTCACGTGAATATCTCTGGAAGCAATCTCTGAGGACAGAGGGATACTGAGCCCCCCTGAGCACCGATGGGTGTGGTCCCCAAATGTTAAAAAATGGGGTGGAGGGGAGAGAGAAGGAAAAGAGAGAATTTGTATGTCTAAACATGGAAACTATTCCATATCTAATATAAAAATGTGGTACAGAGTGCCAGAAATATAGTCCACTGTAGGATGACATTGGTTTGTTCCTTGCCACAAGGAACTCAGGTTTATCACAGTGCTCCTGAAGCACTTCCATTCCATTGTGTTTATCTGTAAACTCTTCCCTATGCTCTCCTCCCCAACCAGTTCATCAGCTTTTTCCCTTAACCAGACTCTGCTAACTCGTAAGGCCGGATTCCTCAGAAATCTATGATTTTATATGTATGAGTAAAATATTGTCTTTTCCTCTCCTTATGTCTTATGAATAGTTTACTTTAATGCAATGTCCTTTTAGTATACATAGAGGAAGATAGTTAATATTATGCTTTGTAACTTAGGATTTGATTGGCTTTGAATACTATTCACTCCTGGGCATCTGCTTTCTCGACCGAAGCCTCAGTTGCCCTTAGCTCCTAGTACCCCAAAAGCAGAGTCCCGACGAGGGACTGAATGGACCCAGGGCAAACTGTGAGCTACCCTGGCATCGAGATGGGCCAGGCCAAAGTGCCACGATTCTTAACTATAAATTAAGAGCTTGATCATAGACAAATGCTGTCATGATCCAAAAGTAACGATGAGACTAGGACCCTGCTAAGGATAGGAAAGACTATCTAGCCTGAGCCCTGTAGTCTGAGATCGAGATGGCCCTAGGAGAGCAATTCTGTAAGTTTAGGGTATTTCTTACTGTATCCATACAAAATGATTTATATTATGTATGCTTATGTTCCTTAGACAAGGAGAGGAGAAACATACCCAGGGGATTCCGCTCTAGGGTGGGTCAACCTGATAATGAGAATCTGTCCTAGAAGCGGCTTTCCCCGAGGGAAAGAACTTTATCCCTATTGATTGTGACCACACCTATGTGTAAGCCCCAACCCCTCATGTATTAGGATATAACTAGACTGTGAGAGTGGGCTGGGGGTTCCAGACTCCAGAAGGAGGAGAAAGGGGGATCCGGATCCAGATTCCAGAGCCAGAAGGATGATGAAGGGGGATTGAGGAGGAGAATGAAGTAGCACGGGGGAGGAAGAAGCAGGAGGAGAGTCAGAGGAGAATGGAGATGGGAATGGAATAAACTGCAGCTGACACCAACCAGCCTGGCCCTCGTTTCCTTCCTTCGCCTGCCCATCGCCATTGACTTCCCTGGAGTGGGGGAAGCGGCGTGAGACTACCGAACGTGGGCAGTGGGAGAGATAGAACGCTGCTGTTTTTTTGTGTTTACACAGTCCATCAGGTAAGTGACTGTCCTGGGTTTGATCTTTGGCATCCTGTACACTGACCACTGCTAAGAGTGATTCCTGAGCACAGAGCCAGGAGTAAACCGCCAGGTATGGCCCAACCAACCCCTTGCCAAAAAGAAAAAAAAAAGTGGCAATCCAAAAACAGAAAACAAATACTTTAACCTGATAAAAAATACTTTAACCTGATAAAATTATACACTTGAAATCAGAGTGAAGTGAGCATAAGACTTAGTAATGAGTTATGAGAGCCTCCCTTTCAGATCAGAAATAAGAGAGGGAAGCTGTTATTACCAGTCTATTTAAAGGTTCTATTGCAAATAGAACGACCTGTTTGGGACAAGAAAAAAAAAATCAAATTGGAAAGGAAAAAAAACAGAAAGTTCATTATCTTTCAATAGGATCACCCACTTAGAACCCCCAAAGTAACTAAATCTAAATTAGTAAAATCTATAATCTAAAGGGGCCACTGAATATAAAAGCAATCCATAAGAATCCAGAAATAACCTACTAAATTATTCAAGTATATAAGGTATACAGGAACTAAAAAAAGAATCCAGAAACACGGCTCGCCCCTCTCCACCAAGGCTGGACATTGGGGTCACACCAGACAAAACTCAGGAATGACCCCTGCTGGTGTTCTGGGAATTCTACGCAGTCTTGGGGTTCACCGCATGCCATCCGGTTACCCACTCTCTAGTCCCAGAAGCTCTTTATGAAATATTGCAAATGCTTTTCATGCCTTCTCTTGTAGAAGAGAAAGAATCCGGAGTTCTGACATCCGTCGACGATCAAGAATCAGGGACGCTGTCTCATTTGCCAAGGTGTCGAAAATCAGATGGGCTGGTCACGTAATGAGATTTAAAGACGACCGCTGGACTAGAGCCGTTACCGACTGGATTCCACGGGATGTTAAAAGACTGTGTGGCCGCCCACCTTCCAGATGGTCAGACTTCTTCGTGAAGATCATGAACGATCGGTTTGAGGCCCTTCATGTTCCCAGAGCGAACAGATGCTATTGGGCTACACTAGCACGCAACAGGGACAAATGGAGACGTTACTGGCGCCTGCTCGAGCAAATCGATGACTAATGGGAAGTTAAGTGATTAAGTGATTGAGTGCTTTTCATGCCAGGGATAGAACCCAGGATCTCATAAGTGCAATATGCATTCTATCCCTGAGCTATGTCCTGTCCCAGACTCTATAAATTGTTATTAAGGTATACTTTATTATTCATTTATTATTGGTGTTTTGGGGTCATACGGAGCAGTGCTCAGGGCTTACGGGGGCCATATGGGAGTCCTGGGGACTGAACCCAGATTGGCTGTGTGCAAGGCAAACTCCCTATCCATTGTTGCTCTGGCATATATTAAGGCACTTTTATTCATTTATTTATTTACTTGTGGTGCTCAGGGTCTACACCTTCCTCTGTGCTCAGAGATCACTCCTGGAGGGTTCAGGGGACCAAACAGAGTAACAGGGATTGAACCCAGGTCAGCTGTGTGCAAGGCAAACACCCAACTCGTACTACTGTTCTGGCCTCTATTAAGGTATGTTTTAGAAGACCTAAATCCAAACAAAGAACAATCCCATTCTGTGTGCGCCCCAGGAAGCTGTCAAATGTTCCCCAATTTTCATCTATTATTTTAGATGAAATCTCTCTGTCCTTTTTGTCTATTTCCAGGCTAGTTTGAGCTACATGCCTAGCCAACGACCTGTCATTTTAATGACAGTCAGTAAAAATCCTCAAAGAGAAAACAAAGGGTGCCAGGGAGATAACGTGAAAGGCTGGGGCACATGGGTGACCCACCACACTGTCCCTCCACCCCAGTAGCACTGTAGCACTGTCCTCCCATTGTTCATCGATTTGCTCAAGCGAGCCCAGTAACATTGTGAGACTTGTTGTTACTGCGTTTGGCATATCGAATACATCATGGGTAGCTTGCCTGGCTTTGCCATGTGGGTGAAATACTCTCGGTAGCTTGCCGGGCTCTCCAAGAGGGGTAGAGGAATCGAACTCAGGTTGGCTGGGTCGGCTGTGTGCAAGGCAAACACCATTTTTTTTTCCTGGCTCTGCACTCAGGAGTTACTCCTGGTGTTGCTCAGGGGACCCTATGGGATGTTGAGAATCGAACCCTGGTCGGCTGTGTGGAAGGCAAACGCCCTATCCGCTGTGCTATCTCTCCAGCCCCAAGGCAAACACTCTAACCATGCTATTGCTCCAGTCCACCACCCCAGTAGGGTCCCCAAAGAAAACAAACAAAAAAAAATCACTGCGAGATAGCCCATTGTAAAGCTGTTTTTGATTGGGTTTCAGTCAAACAGTGCTGCAACATCCATCCCTCCACCAGAATATATTTCCCAGCACCAGTGTCCCCAATCCCCCACCCCCCTTTCACAATCTGCCTCTCTGTAGGTACTTTTCTATCTCTGTGTCTTTGTCTGTCCGTCTGTCCTCTTTCTCTCTCTCCGCCCCCTCCCTTTCTCTTTCCTCTTCCTCCTCTTCAGGGTGATTCAAATTTTAAAAAAATTTTAAAAATCAAAGATTCGAACACAGACAAAAACCAAAAACAAACCAAAAGCGAAACAAAAGAAAAATCTCTTCATGGACTTTCCCGGTTCCTTCTAAAATCCACCCCCAAGTGCAAAGGGCTCCCAAGACAGAGCAACGGGGCGGCTGGCGGGGTGAGAGAAATGATTATAAATAGACAAGGGCCAGGAAGGGCGCTCCCAGGCAGACAGCACAAGCTCTCGGCACTGACTTATCTAGAGGGGGGCTTAATGCCGAGGGACGAGGGGCCCTACCAACAGCAGCAGGTCAAGTGACTGTTTAGGCAGAAACAACGTAAGGAACAGTGATAATGGGGGTGATGGTCTGGCTGAGCTCGGGGTGTCCCCAGGAGAGTGGTTCTGGATGAGAACAGCACTCAGGTGGGTGGAGGGGCTGGAACATAGTAGAGGCACTAAAGCACTTGCCTCCCCTGGTTGCAAAGACAGACATCACATACACACATTCCTATGAGTCAGGAGTCACCACTGAGCACCACAAAGATATGCCCTTACCACCCCAATACATAAACATATAAATAAAAGTGAATAAAAGGCACTATCCTCCCTAACGCATGGCAGAGCTTGGCAAGCTCCCCGTGGCATATTTGATATGCCCCGAACAGTAACAATAACAGGTCTCATTCCCCTGACCCTGTAAGAGCCTCCAATCGTTGGGAAAAAATGAGTAAGAAGAGGTTGCTAAAATCTCAGGGCTGGGAGGAATAGAGATGTTACTGGTGCCCGCTTCAGTAAATTGATGAACAACGGGATGACAGTGATCCTCCATAATGGGGTGAACCGTTTCCAATCAGCTGAAGGCTTCACTAGATCAAACAGACTCCAGCAAGCAGGAGAGAATGTTCGAGCAGACTGAAATGAAAACGTCGGTTCTCCCGCTGGCTCACTCTGCAGACTCAACCTCCAGAGCGGTGCAGGTCAATTCCTCATAATAAATCTCTCCTTATATAAATAGACTTGCCATGGGTTCTGTTTCGCGGGAGAGCCTCCTTCATACAAAGGCTTTCAAGAACGAGTTGTGAAAGCAGTATCAGGATTCCCGAAGAATAAGAAGAGCGCTTTGGAAGACAGGATATGAATTTTTAAAGATTGGGGCTAAAATGGGCAAGTTGAAGGGTCACAGGATTTTCCACTGTACAAACAGTGAGAAAAAAAAAAACAACCAAAAAAAAAAAAACCCAAGCTGAGTAAACACAAGAGACAGCCCTGGATATTTGTGTAATGATATGAAAAGGAAGTGGAAATTAAAACGGATCAAAAACACGACCAGAGTTGTTTCAAGTAAGAGGGAATGACATGAGATGGCTAATAGGGAATAGAGGATTAAGAAGATGAAAGTTCATTTGTTATTCAATTATTCAAAACGTTTCCTGGAAAGAGACTTCGCCCTCTCACCAGGAATTCCACATTAATCAGCTAGACTCTGAAATTGCTGGAATTTAGAACTGAGTAGGGAGTCACTTATGGAGGCCGGCACAGTGCACCCTAATGGCAGATGACTTTCAAGAGCCTGGGACAGAGGTGCTAGACTTTGAAATGTCCCACACTCCCCTCGCACCCCGGACTTCTGAGGTCACTAAGCTTGAGCCTGTGACAATCATCATTTCCGATATTCACAGTGGAAGTGGAAGAGGCCCCGAGTAGCAAGATGAGAACAGGCTTGGGCATGCGGAGAGGGATGGAGAGACGGGGGGGACACCTCACTGCTCTGCATGAGCGAGGCTTGATCCCTGGACCCCATTTGGTCACCCGGGCCCTGCCAGAAGTCATCCCTAAATATAAAGCCTAGAGTATGCTTTGAGTACCACCGGGTGTGGCCCCCCAAACAAACCAACCCAACACAGCACCTGAAAGAGTTTTAGAAAACAGAGACTAGAGTGTGAGGAAAAAAAAAACACCCAGAACCTACTGGAAACATTGGAGATGGAGAATGGGCACAGGTGGAGGGATGGGTACTCGAACACTGTATGACCAAAACGTAATCACGCAAGTTTGTAAGTCTGTAATTATATCTCATGGTGATTCATTAAAATTAAAAAAAAATAAATAAGAATTAAAAAAAAAGAAATAGAACAAAACATTGGACAAAAACTCAAGACCCCCCTGGTTTGGGTGTGAGAGGTCCCCTGCAGAAAGGTGCGGTTTCTCTGCACCTCAGAACAGTCTTTGTAAACCTTGAACAGTCTTTGTAAACCCTGGGCCAGAATAGGCCATGGAGAATACTTTCTAGTACTTGAGTCCTTTGGTTTTTATAATTTCTCACGGTGCAAAACGAATTTCCAAGACATTTCACATGGTAGAATTGTCTTTGAAAACGGACCCTGCGTGGATTCAAGTTACTCAAGGAATGATTGTAACAAAAAGTGTTTTTGAGTAAAACGGAATATGTATTTTTCTCCCTTTAGGTTTTTGGGACCCCAAGAGACTTCAGCAACCCAAGTCAAGTTTTCTCTGCAGGAATGGGGGACATCATCATCCTTTTACAAAGGTTATAATTTTCTTTTTGGCTTTTTGGGTTACACCTGGTGAGGCTCAGGGGTTACTCCTAGCTCTGCACTCAGGAATTACTCCTAGCAGTGCTTGGGGAACCATATGGGATGCCGGGGATAGAACCCGTGTCGGCCGTGTGCAAGGCAAACGCCCTACCTGCTGTACTATTGCTCCAGTCCCCAAGGTTATAAAATATAAGTTCCAGATACAAGTTTTTTGGTTTTTTTTTTGGGGGGAGGGTGGTTGAGGGTCACCCCTAGGGCTTTCAGGGCTCACTTCTGATGGTACTTAGGGGACCATATATGTTTGTCGGGGACTGAGCCCGGGTTGGCCACATAGAAGGCCAGTGCCCTACCTGCGCTATCTCTCTAGCCCACCCCAGATTGAAAGCTGAGCACTTAAAAGGATCCAAGGATGCTCCTTTTCAAAAGACTCTTTGCCAATAACTGTGTGGGCGTGACTCTCAACTTAAATTCACTGAAACCATGGACACTTGAAAAGTCACCTTATCTCACTGATATTTTTATTGGGACTTGGGCCACACCCAGCTGTGCACAGGGCTGAGCCCTGGTGGTGCTCAGGGACCTTATTATACGCTGCTGGTGATGGAACCAGGGTTGGCCATGAACAAGGCAAGAGTCCCCCTTCTGCACTCTTATCCCCAGCTCCCCCCGAAGCTCACCTTACTTTAGAACACCATCATTACTCTGCACCCCCGAGAGCTTCAAAGCTCAGTTGTAACTTCTCATGCTGAGAGGGAATGCCAGGGAGGGAACCAGGGGCTCATCCCTCACTCAGTGCCATTTTCCAATCCCGCCCCACTTTCCTTCTCGGACCAAGTGCTCAGTGAACGGGGACAGGGGGGACTCACACTCGGGCCGCCTCCGTGCATCTTCAGAGCTCGCACCGTGGCCACCAGCACCACCACGTTGGGGACCAGGCCCGACGCGCGGCACTTGATGTTGAAGAACTTCTCCATTCCGATATCCGCGCCGAAGCCTGCTTCCGTGACTGTGGAGAATGAGATGACACACTTGTCATTATCTGAGACACACAGGGAGGTCCGGGTGAGGATGGTGAAAATAAAGGTTCCCCCCACCCCCAAATCAGGACCCACTGATCACATGCCCCCCTCAGCTCGCTCGTATTTGGGTGAGGAAAGGGACTGAGTTTCCTGCTGTCTTCTAGAAGGTTCTCCCCACATTCCCTACAAAGATAGATCTCCCCAGGCAACGTGCCCCAACTCAGTCGGAACCGGAGGAGAGCATGCGATTGAAGTCAGAAGGACAAATACTAGACGATCTCACCCAGAGATGGTGTGTACATGCTCAGGACGGGACTAAGGTTCCTGGGTCAAGGGTGGAGGGTGCTGAGGTAAGGACAGGGAAGGTCCTATGAGCAGTAGCTTGGTGGCACTGTGGTGCTGGGAGCATTGTGCTGACACTATGCCCCTAAAGAACAGACATAATCAGACTGAAAGCCAATGTTACCTCGAGATACATGTCCTTCTCTCGCGGAAGGGAGGATAACATGACACTGGCCATATCCATGCTGCCAGACCCCACGCCAGGCTGTTTCACTCGGGGTGCCCCGGCAGGAGGGTGGGTGAGACCCCTCCCCACCCCAAGGGACTCAGCCCTAGGCAGCCGAAAACCTCCAGAACTCAATTGCCAACACGCTCACAGCTGCTCTCCACACGCTCGGGTTGAACCTCACCCACGAGTGAACCTATTACTGGATGATTCCCTGGTTATACTGCAAAAGTACTGCACCATATTTGATGAGGTTCACAATAGGAGGCAACCAAATTCAGAGGGAAATATATATATAGGCATGTTACATTCAACCTTTAACAACATGTTAGTGATCTCTTATGGAAGGGCTTAATGGTCCCTGGTGAAATACAACAATCTACACACTCTTTCCCCTAAGGAAACTTTTTTGTAGCATTTTCAGTGGTTTTTTTTTTTTTCATAACAAACAATACAAAAAATATTATTACTTCGGTTTGGCTTTGGGGAAGGGGTTGGGGCTTGGAATGGAAACATCTGAAATATGGTGGTGGGAAGGTATAATGGTGGTGGGGTTGGTGTTTGAATATTAAATGTAATCAAATTATTGTGAAATACTTTATAAAATTTAAAAAATTAAAAAAGAGTTATCTTCCAGTACTTAATAAACTTATGAGTTATATACTAAAATATATATATATATAGCCAATGCTACCTCAATTAAGAAAAATAAAAGTTGGGCTGAGGTGACAGTGCAGAGGACAGGGCACTTGCCTCACATGTGATGCATGCAGGCTGGATCCCCAGCACTGTACCTGGTCACCCCAACACACCAGGAGAGATTCCCAAGGAAACAGCCAGGAGCAAGCTCTGAGCTCTGCCAGGAATGGCCTCCAAGTGAAAAGAAATTAAAAAAAAAAATTCTACTTAGAAAATAAAATTAAAAAATGAAAAATTCTACTATAAAAAATGAGAACAGGGAGCTGGAGCGATAACACAGTGGGAAGGGTGTTTGCCTAGCACACGGCCGACCCGGGTTCGATTCCCAGCATCCCATATGGTCCCCAGGCACCGCCAGGAGTTAATTCCTGAGTGCGTGAGCTAGGAGTAACCCTTGTGCATAGCCAGGTGTGATCCAAAGAGAAAAAAAAAAGAGAGAGAGAGAGAGAACATACTTCTTTAGGAAAGAAATTCTACTTCAGACACACAAATGAATCTTGGGCCCGAGCAATTTGCGGCAGAGATGGCCAGGGACTTTGCAATAGGCCCTCTTTGCTGAGCTGCTTGAGACGGGGGCAGGTGTTGTCCCTCCACCTGCCCTCTAGGAGGGGCACTCCTCCTTCCCCCTGCCCTGATGAGATTCTGAGATGGTGTGACTTTCACCCACAGTCTACTCAAGCTCCCACACGGCCACGATCCAGAGACACACAAACGAATCTCGGACCTGAGCAACATGCTGCAGTGATTTCTTCAGACCCTAATTATTAAAATCTTAGAATTCCTAGAGCATTACATTGCATCCTTAACAAGCAATACAAAACACATTGTCTGGGATTGCCTTTTCAGCAGGTATGAGGGGTGGTAGGACTCGTCTCGAAATATTGTAGCACTGTAGCACTATCCTCCCGTTGTTCATCGATTTGCTCGAGCAAGCACCAGTAACGTCTCACAACAAATTGTGAGACTTCTTGTTACTGTGTTTGGCATATCGAATATGTCACGGGTGGCTTGCCAGGCTTTGCCGTGCGGGTGAGATACTCTCGGTAGCTTGCCAGGCTTTCTGAGAGCGGTGGAGGAAATAAACCCGGGTTGGCCGTGTGCAAGGCAAATGCCCTGCTCGCTGTGCTATAGCTTCAGCAAGTAGAGAAAGAGTATTTTGCAAATCCTCTGCCACACAGGGCAGGGGAGGTTTGGAATGGAGGAGAGGGAGTTACTGGGGATTTTGGTGGTGGAAAACGTGCACTGGTGAAGGGATGGGTGTTTGATGACTGTATGATCCAAGTTCAAACATGAAATTTTTGTTACTGTACCTCATGGTGAATTAATAAAAAAATAAATAAATTTTTAAAAAATGCTACTTCTTTACTAAATAGAAAGGAAATCCACACTCTATATACTGATCATACAACTGAGGCCATAATTTATGGCAGAGGAGAATTGACAATAAAAAGAGTATGAAGATAATTTTTTTCATAAAATATAAATGGAGAGATCTGGCCCCGTATTCACAGAATGCGTATCTTTAAAGAAGAATTAAGGAAATAAAAATGATGAAATGTCACACATAATTTCAAGCTGTAAATACATCAACCAGTTGCTCGATTTCTTTATGGTTGTCTTTCAGTCCTTCATAAACCCATATAATTTTTAGCAAATAGGCAAAATTTTGTAGTCTGCTCCTTTACTTTAAAATTATGTTTTCCTGTTGCACTACAAACTTTCAAAATTTATGACTGTCCATGGCAGCTTAAAATCTTGTTCAGTGACTGTACCAAGATTTACAAAACTATTCTCCTGTTATTAGCCATTTGGGTTCTTTCCAAGATAAATAACACTGCAAAGTATCTGTACATATGAGCTTTAACCTCTTTCAAATCATATTCTTGGAATAAATTCCCAAGGGTGAGCCTATTGAGCCAGAGGATCTAAAATATTTTATGATTGTTGATATACGTTTGACAAACTGTAAAATATTCCTTTAAAAATATTCAGCTTGGAATGATGATGGTTCCAAGTCATGTTATCCTTTGCGGTATTTTCTTTGAGTAAGCGATATAGCAGAATAACTTAAAGCAGTATAAGATACTCCTCCTTACATAGGATTTGGGGCAAACTGGAGATTCTATGAGAATGGTCAAAAGTTGACGGCGGCGGCCCTCCTACTCTTGGGGGTATGCCCGGAAAAACAAATGTGAACTCTCGCCAGGCATGGTAAACCACAGGGAAGAAGCATTCGGTTGGCTTTGCCAAAGGATAATCCAGATGGGGGCACAGTGGGGGTGGGGTGGGGGTGACATAGATAACATGGTCTTGGATCGGATGGCAGGTCCCACTTGGGAGAAGCCCAGATCCGCAGAGAGAGGCTGGCTGGACCGACTCCTCCCAGATGAGCAGGCTTGGTGAGGCACTTAAACTGATGACTCCAACGTTCTCGCTCAGCTTGTGAGGAGGACTCACAAGTTGATAACACATGCGAAGTAAGGTGCTGAGCTAATTTTTTTTTTTTTTTGGGGAGGTGGAGGGGATGTAGAGCTGGAATTCACAGAACTGGAGGGAGGGCATTCATTGTTACTAAAATAACAAATCTCCACATGCTAGACGCCCTTTCCTGCTCTTCAGCACTGGCTCGATTCCTGCTGTGTCCAGGCATTTTCCTTGTGGAAGTATCTTAAGGTTCAGCCCCTCTAGCACACTCCCCATCCCTCTGCAATCCCCTTCCCCCAAGAAAAGGTGGGGAAGCCATCTGCCACCCCTCTGGAGAATACTGAGGGTGGAGTTTTGCCTGTGGAAGTTTGAGGGTCACAAGGATGCCACACTCTGAAGATCAGAGAGATAGAAGGTGTGAAGGGGTGGGGTGGGTTGGGGTGGGGTGGGAGCAGGAGGGAGGAAGGAGAGCATGGCAGAAAGCAGCTGACAGAGGGAAGAGGTACCAGGGGTGAAGGACAGAGAAGGCCGGGTTTCTAATAGCAAGATCTGTTCTCTCGTCTGACCAGCCCAGAGAGTCTGGAACCAAGTGACCAAAATCTGTGTGCATGTGTACATGTGTATATGTGTGTGTGCGTGTGTGTATGTGTGTGTATGTGTGTGTGTGTATGTGTGTGTATGTTTAGCATTGATAGGTCTATAAATAGCTTATTTTATTTTCTATCATTTACTTCCCTTGAAAAAGCTGCAAACTCCAATTTTCCTCTCCGTCCCTCCCATTCATGCACAACATCAGTTCCCCGCCATCTAATTTCCAGTCAGTGGGAACCCCAATGTCACCTAAAGGAACCCCGTCCACACACTGCTACCTGCATCTTCCTCACTCTCTCCGACGGATGTTAAACTGTTGTAAGAGAAGCTTCCGGGCCAGCCCACGAGAGAGTCCCTTGCCATCTCTGCCTCTCTTGTGGAACATTCCTTGCTCCCCTCTTGACTTCGTCAACACCTCGTCCCATTTCCTGGCAGGCACTTGTGGGCCGTTCTGAGCCCTCTGGGAGCTCCATCTCCACAGCAGGCAGCATTCGAGTCAGATACCCGGGTCGGTGCCCACTAGGAGGGCAGGGACCTTCTCCTGTTCATCGTTATATTGAACAAGGTGGCCTCAGCACCAGAGAGCGCCCGGGGAACACAAGCGCATGAATGAACACATACGCTCAGAAGCGAGACGTGGTATCAATGATGACCCAAAGTGAAGGATGCTGGGGAGATGTTTGGCGAGGAGGGGGCAACTCTACATGTACAAGGCATTGAATTTTGTCCTTGGCACTGTGCATCTCTCAAGCCAGTATACCTGGG